AATAAATATATAGTAAGTATAGTAAATTATAGCTAAAGTGATACTGACGATGATGATCATTATCTATAGCTGATTATGATGATGAGAACAAAGGCGACAACAATGATGACTGATATATTCATAGATATACATATATGCAATTAATAATCATAATACAAAGAGAGATGATGAAGATAAATAATTGTGATATATTATAATGCTTATAGAAATAGTGTAAGCAACAATTAGACTATTTTTATTATTAATTATAAGTGAATGAAAATGATGATGAAAATTTTGAAATTAATGTTACCAAAAATAATTCAATTTAATTACAAAAGCTCAGCTGATAAAGCTGCCTTCATGATGATAGCATTGATGATATATGTTGATAATGAGAGAAATAATAATGCTTATTATAATAATACAAGTGGAAATGATGGCTAATGATGATGCCAATGATCATATGAATAACAATAATTTAACGAAGAGTGACCATTTCTCTTTTTACCATCATTATCACGTTAATTATAGAATTGATGCTATGACTTTTCTATTAGGGCTAATCAGTTTTTATATTCCTAGGCAGCTAGGGCTTCACGCTGTGCTTTATGCACTTGCAGTCAGCTCTTCACTCTGAGAGATTTGTTTGACTAAATTTGCTGCATATATGAAAATGTTCCTTTCTTGAGTTGTCGGGCTTCTAGGAACCAGTTGTTATTCCGGATAAATCTTCTATGTGATTTAGCTTGGCATTGCATTGTCATCATTTTCCCCAGCAATATACATATGTATGGTGCAATTCAAGCATTTGTCTTTAATAGACCCCACTATGAAATTAGTTTCTGTGAAATGAAATCGTTCTCTTGCGAGTACTCACATTTCTCAGTTATGCATTGCCCTTTTGCCGTAAATGCAGCTGAATTTGGTTCTTTTTCCCCATTTCATGAAGATAATGAGAGCTCTCTCATCGTACCCCCTAGGCTCTGCTTTAGAGCGGGTCTACTTTAGGCTCCTTCTGCCATGTCCCATAGCTCTCGCTAGACCATTTTGCAGCAGGCAATAAATAGTCAGCTATTCGCTGGAGCTGCCCTTTGCTGATTACATCAAAAATTTGTGCTTTTGCCAGAGATTTCATATCGGAGCTCGTCACAGTGTGTGGCATGCCGAAGCTGCCCCAAAAGCTGCTTTTGACTTCCAGCTCGACTTCTGCCCATGCTTGGCCAACATTCAGCAGGAATGCATTTGTTGCTTCCACTGGCAATCTGCGCTTAGCTGCAGTCGGACGAATATTTGCCTTCAGTTTTACCTGGCAACCAGGTTGCTATGCTCGCTGTTGAGGCGGTGCAGGCTGCTGCAGCTGAAATGCGAGTTTACCGTTGAGTCTAACGTTCTTTGAGTCCTCATTGTGTTTCCGCTTGCTCGCATCGCTACTTCGACTGGAATCTGCTTAGCAGAGGGCAGAGGGCAGTGGGCAGAGGGAGCTGCTTTAGTTGGGTAGAAAGGCGCCAAAGCTGGTGGAAATTAATGATACGAAATTCAGAATAATGATAAGATTTTTCATTAATGATGAGAAATTATAAAATAAAATATGCAGCATAGATATAAACTTTTAATTGTGACAAATTTATCTCATAAAACAAACAACTTGCTGTCTGCCTGTGTACAGGGTATCCACTAGCTGCACTTATTTATTTATATATATTCATTTATGCATTTGCATTTTGCTTTATTATTATACCCTGAACCCATTGAAAATGGGAAATCAGGGTATAATGGTTTTGTGAAAAGTATGTAACARGCAGAAGGAATCATCGCAGACCCCATAAAGTATATATATTCTTGATCAGGACGACGAGCTGAGTCGATATAGCCCTGTCCGTCTGTCCGTCCGTCCGTCCGTCCGTCCGTCCGTCCGTCCGTCCGTCCGTCCGTATGAGCAAAAGGATCTCAGAAGATATAAGAGCTAGAGAGCTGAAATTTGGCAAGCATACTCGTGTATACCATAGGCAGTACAAGTTTGCTTTATTTTTTCGATAACTCATCCGATAACTTTTTTATCGAGAATAATCGAAAAATCGACAATGTTTTTTCAGCTTATTTTGAACACTTTTAGACCTGGAGACTTCAAATTTGCGTTGTATATAAAGTTAATGGATACAAAGATTTTGTAATTTACAGATTTTGGATACCACGCCCCCTTCGCCCCCAATTTGTAAAAAACGCATTTCAAGTACTAGAGACTTGTGCTTTGAAATGTACACACATTTAAGCCATATGATTACGCTCTAAAAGTTTCATTAAGATCGTATGTCTACAAAAGAAATTATTCAACAAATAAATTCTCGTTATATTGCCCACACTGCAGTGCAGCCCAAGCGCAGCCGCTGCTAGCTGCGCAGTTTGCAAAGCGCGTGCTTATACGYGCATGTGTATGTATGTGTGCATAAAAGAAGTCCAGAATGATTAGAATATCAGTTTGGAGGGTTCAGGGTATCTCCTAGTCGAGCAGTCTCGACTGGAGCCTTCTTACTTGTTTTTTAGCTGCGTTTTATTGTTTACTCGCTGCAAAAAAGTGTGAATATTATTTTTAATTCAATTGCACGGCTTTGCGGGGTCCATTTGATCGCCAATTGTACGGTCTGTCGGCTTTTTGTTGTGCGCCGGGACAGTTCCTCCTCGCTTCCTTCCCTCTATTGGTGTGACAAATGCGCCGACCAAATTATTGTTGGCATGTGTCGTGTACGGCGATTAATTCAATTTGATATGAAACAGTGAAATAATGCAATTTAAATGCGTTTCGTTGTTGTTGTTGTTCTGTTTCACGCACAGTATTTGAAATTCAAGAGAGGACTTTATTTGGGCGGTGCCCAGACCAATGTTTTTAGCAAGATACATAAAAGAAATTGAAAGCAAGAAAGTAAGTGGAGTGTAAGTTGCCCTAAGCTATACTCAAAGCTATATACATATATATATGTATATATTTATATATGTATATATATGCATATATACATACATATATACATATACACATACATAAACATATACTATCTATTCTGTGTTCGCATCGACTCTCCCAGCAATTAGATATCTTCGTCTTGGATTATTTGCACTTCCTGACTCGGCTTGTTCACAATGTTGATGAACAGGGACTTGAGGCAGGGCGCACTGATCTTGAACGGAAAGAAGATGTCACTGTTGTTGTGCAGCGTCTCCATGACCATCGACATGGTGTACATGTTCCTCGACAGCCAGAAGCAGGCAATGTGATTGTTCGTGTTTCTGTACAGCAAAAAATGGAGA